GGCAAAGACAAAATTGTCATCACATGATGAGTCACATAACCACAAGCAGTAATCAAAGAAAGCTTAGAAAGAACTCCTGTGTGCCGAGAGTATTGAATACCCATTAAAAATGAATTCAAAATTACTTGTACATGAGATATTGATGGAAAAGCTGAAAACTAATTATGTAAATCAGGTAACTAATATGAACAGAACAGAACAAAAAAATTATGAATTATTATGCTAATTAGAGAATTAATATTAATCAAAATTAATCAGGCCTTTCTATTGTCCTAGAGCATTTATGTACCAAATTTTATTCAAATGTGATCAGTAATTGAGATATCAGTGTTAATTAATTATGTTAATTAGGTGATTAATAAGCATAAATATTTACCAAAAACTAATTGGGTTTCTGCGTAGTTCTCTTTAAAAGTTTCATTAAAATCATTTGTGCTTCTTTATACATCAGTGGAACATTATGCAAATTAGGTAATTAATATTCAGTTAAAACTAATCAGGTCTCTGCATAATCCTAGAAGATCTATGTAGCAAGTCTCATTGAAATACGATGATTACTACTTGAAATATCAAAGGCTGAAAATTAATTAATTATGCAAATTAGGTAATTAATATGTACTCATATTACCCTAAAAACTATGAGGTCTGTGCAGTGTCCTATGACATCTATGTACCAAATTTCATTGAAATGTCATCATTACTACTTGAAATATCAAAAGCTAAAAATTAATTAATTATGCAAATTTGGTAATTAATAAGAACTGATATTACCCTAAAAACTATCAGGTTTGTGTAGTGTCCTATGACATCTATGTACCAAGTTTTATTGAAATGTGATGATTAGTACTTGAGATATCAGTGGAAAAGCTGAAAATTGATTAATCATTATGCAAATTCGGCAATTAATATTGCACAGATTTTTACCCAAAACTAATCAAATCTGCGCATTAGTTTGGAGCATCTGTGTGCCAAGTTTCATCAAAATCCAATGAGTGGTTCTTCAGTGGAACAGTCATGGAACAGCTAAACATCAGCTAATTATCATGCAAATTAGGTAATTAATATGCATGGATTTTTACCAAAACCTAATCAAATCTGCGCATTGGCCCAGAGCATCTATGCATCAAGTTTCATCAAAAACTGATGTATGGTTCTTGAGATATCAGTGGAACAGGCGGACACACACATACATACAGACACACTAACTGCAAAGACTTCTTTTTTGTGCTTCGCACACGGGAGTAAAAAATATACAACCAGTTATCTTACTCCCCACCAACATTTACAGAATAGTGTTCAATGTTCATCACCACATAAAGTTATCTGCGTTTAATCCCCTTGATAATAATATGGATTTCCAAATGGAATCACTAAATACACCACATCAAATGGCCGCTGACACTCAATGCAATATATTCATGCATTTTAAAATTGATATACCTGCCAAGTTTAGATTTACTGATATTCATTTACTATGTTATAACATTGGAGCAATGCAATTCCATTGATTGAACAATCAATACTACACAGAGCACTAGTCAATGCTTCATGTGCAACATCTGTGTTTATTTTCAGTGTTTCCTAACTTTTTAAACATGTCTAAACAAAACATCCATGAATCTCTTACCTGGTACTTTAAAAGATTCAGTAAATTTTCATGTGTAAAACTACATATGAATACTTTTTCTCATTGTTGTATTGTGTATGTAATCAAAATATAAGCAACTTTGAAGCACAAACTAAACTTTTAATTTTTGTCTTCTCAACAAGTAATTGTTTAAATATTCAACATGTCAGGGTATAACTGAAACAAAGGATTATTATGTGACAACAGGTAAAGGGCAGACATGTGTACAAATAATAGAGGAGATGTGTAGTGAAATCTGAGAAATAAGAAAGTGACACACTCACCATATAATATGTATTCTGACTTGTACATGTATATTTCATGACTCGAGGAAGCACCTGAATGTCAGTTTATTTGTATCATCATTACTTATATTTTCAGTTTACATTTAGATTACCGGTACTAATTTGCAACATTTGAGTAAAACATGGTTGTTTTTGTAACACAGAGACACAACCTGGTATGTATCTTCCATGTAAACACCACCACCACATGTACATGTGCTGTAGAACAGACTCCATTTCATCATACAAGTAGGATGGTTGTTTTCATCGCAAGAATGTATAAACCTCAAGAACAGTTGCTCAGGTAATTTGCTTGAAATCTAAAATGAGTATGGTTTCTATGACGATGAGTACACACCACAAGATATTTCATCCAAGCAATATAGCAAGTATTTATTGCCATGATATTTTTTTAAATAATATTCTAAAGAATAATTGTGCATGTTATACATATACAAGACAACACAAAGTGGATAAAATTAATTTGACACTCTAAAAGTTGTTCATTAAACATTTGTAAAATCCTTTTCACAGGCGAAAATAGGTGCCAGCAAATAAGTCAGTGAAAATACACTGAATGTCATTTTACTTTCTTTAGAAACTCTGAAAATGGTGTTGCAGCATTCATACACAGTGTTCAATATTGCAACAGTCTGGAATGTTTTGTGAGATCTAGAAGACAATAGATGACATCATTGCAATATCCTAAACACATTAGATGACATCATTGAAAGATCCACAGCACAATAGATGACATCATTGCGATATCATCAACACAACAGATGACATCATAGAAAAACCCACTGCACAATAGATGACATCATTGCAATATCCACAACACAACCCAATAGATGACATCATTGAAAGATCCACAACACAACACAATAGATGACATCATAGAAAAACCCACTGCACAATGGATAACATTCAGAGAATAGGACATCCAATAGATGATGACATCATAAAGAGCTCTTTGTTTATGTTCATTATTAACAATTGTTAGATGTCTGCCAGGAGTGTTCCTTTTGGTTTCTTTTTTAATTCTTCTTGAGCCTAAATGTGAGAAAAAATTTACTCAATATAAATAATCATAAATATTCATAAAGAACCTCTGAAAGCAGAAAGCATAAGATTGTTTTGTTTTTTAACAGAATTTTCCCTTCATGCAAAATTTATACAAGTAAAAAAAAAAATAACTGAACAAGTCATTGAAAATGACACAGTCCCCATTAAATTTTTGAAAGTCTTGTTATTTGGCCATCTTTGATCTAGTTATGAAACAAACTGACATGTATGATGTATGTACCAAATACGAATGAAAATGGTACTGTAAAAGGGTTAATTATTCACTGGGTTTTAATTTTGCTTATTGATCCGATTTTGAAACAAACATGTATCCTAACATGTATAAAGTATGTGGCAAATTTGAATGAAAACTGACAAAACTGTTCAAGATACCATATTTAAAAAAAAAAAACAGATGTCTCCCAGTCGGGCATCTTTGATCCAATTGCAAAAGAAATTGTCATGGACAATTAGGTACATGCAAAGAATGAATGAAATTGGCCTAAAGGATTCTGAAATATGACTCTGGACGGACGGACAAACGGTCGTTGGACATGTATCTTAACATGTAAAATCATTTTAAAAAAACAAGATGGCTGCCAGTCGTTCATTTTGAATCACTAAACCACTGCATGTGCAAATGCCCCACATAAAGTACTAGGCACATGCAAAGAATGAATGGAGTCGATCAAAAGGATTCTGAAATATGACTCTGGATGAACAGATAGATTATAAGTCGCAGTTTTCGAACTTCGAACAGGAACTAATAAAATAAACATCAGAACCTTAAACAACGAGTTATGACTGAATGCTCGGGGTCTGGTTGTAGTACCTCACATCATAAAAAGATGATGGATTTCCTTTATTACATGATTCATGATATAATATTTCTACTTGCCAACTCTTGTAGTTTCCGTTTGGCAACTCCTTTTCTTTGTAGCTGTTTCTCTATCACTCTGGCATTGCTGGCATAGGAGTCAGCAACCTCCCTCTGGGAAATAAAACAATATGATTAGGAACACTCCAGAAAATTATATAATATTTTGCTATGATTTTGGTAATTCAATTTTATATTTCACCTCTAATAAGTAGTGAACTAGACAATAATTTGAGATAAATACAGGGTAATGATCCTGATGATCAAGCCAGGTTTTATTGATGGTATATACCTTTGTTGGTACCCATCACAATCTATATGTGTTTGAAACCCAAAGCAATATGACAAATTTAGGTCAAAAAGTGTGCCAACAGTCACAACCTTCTGTGTTTCTTTGTAATTTCAGAAATTTTACTTTTTGTGAAAATTGTTTTGACTCCCTGTCTTGAGGACCCAAGTGAGATGTTCACTGCAATGTGAACAGTTCTTACAGCTTCTATTTCTTCTTCCTCTTCATCAACAGTTGACACGGTTACTGAACTGAACTTGCCCATCTCTTTGGTTCTCTTTGATATTATCACCTGTGGAGTGGAAATAAAAACAAATTAAACATTTCTGTTAGAAAAAATCAGCTCATATAACATGCAGTTGACAAGATTGCACTAACAAAACCCAATATTCTTATTTAGGCTATAAATGAGAAATAAAATATATAAATCTAACCAATATCTGAGCATCTTTTGCACCACAATTTCTTTTTATAGCTTTAGTTTCTGACACGTTCTTTCACAGACTTAGTTTTGCAACTCACACTAACTGTGTGTATGGACTAATATATTTCTCTTGTTTCATGTACATGAATGTAACAGAACGAACAGACATGTTGCAACAGATAAGAATGAATGGAGTACTACCGGTAGTACATTTTATTTTTCTGTCACAAACAATCGTGAATATTTATATATTACAATTTTGATCGATTTTACTAGCTGGAAAAAATTCCTGCTTAAATGTTGATGTTTAGAGCAGTGATGCAAGTCTTCGAAATGAATGTCAGATTTATTTAAATCTAAACATCAATCAGAACTGTTGGTGACTACCAGTACTGTACAATAATTTTATTCATAGTAAATGATTGGTGGGCCATTGAAATTACATTTCCCATGATGGTACATATGACATATAATGTACATGATGTGATGCAAAGGTTTCTGTGATAGAAATGTATTTATTTATTAAACAGCATCAGTGTTACTTTCCCACTTCACAAAACTGAACTCTGTAAGCATTTATAAGGGCTTTATATTTTGTATGGTTTATTAAATAAAATGTCTAAAAGATGAGGACAGAATTTTCTGTTCAATACATCATTGTTTTAGCTAAAACAGCATCTTTTTTTTACACATTTTATGTTTTTAGCTTGTTTTAACTTAAAATGTCTAGATTGTGTACTGCACTGAAGCAGTATAAATGGTATGATTTGTGTTTCATAATTTCTCAGTAGTGACCTACTGACCTTCTTTCTAGGGGCTTCAGTCTGTGCCTGTGCCAATATATTGGTTTTCACTGGACCATCACCAGCCTTGAAAACTCCACCTTCCACAATGAAAGTTATGGGACTGTTTTTTTCCTGATGTTGGTAAAATAAAAATAAACTGCACCTATGAAGATAAAATGGCATTGCTATATCAAGATGTCAAATGTACATAATTTATTATTCAAACTTAACTCTATCCATTTCAAGCTCTGAATACTTCATTTATTGTCAAGTGTTGTATCATGTAGCGCATTTCCTAAATTAGAAGCATGTGTCCAATAAAAGAGCATAATAGTCGCATTGATGTATACTGAATCAATAAAATATTGCTTAGTTTGAACAGAGTAATGCCTTTGTAATATACTTAAGTGCATGTGCTATTTATAGAGCAATTATGCTATACCAACTGGCTAGGGATGTCCATTTCAATAGAAGATAATTTTGATTTTGCTATGCATTGGGAACTACAAGCCTCCACTCATGCAGACTCGTTATTAAAAATTATAACATTCACTACTCATTGTAGTCAGAACGTTTCACAAATTGAGTAACCACTCAATAGTTATTATACTATTATATTAACGATCAACTGTAAAACATTTAATATTTAGGGATTTTTGCAATTTGTTTATCTATTTCATGTCATTCATGAAGACAAATTTTGAAAGTGAAAATCGCTAACACACCCTGTAATAAGGAGAAATGTTCACTGGTACAAAATCTATTTTGAATGGCCCACTAAATAAAAAAAAAAATTATCCTTCATAAAAATTAAAGTGATTTACAGTATTTGAGGCACAGTCGTTGTGCAGCTTTAAACATGTGTAGTTTTGGAGGGGTGGGCGGGGTTTGAAATCAGATGTAGGATAGGATAGGATAGGATAGGATATTTTATTTGGCACATACACAATACAGAGCTATTGTAAAGTCCAAAATAACACAAACAAAATAAGCTAAAACAATTCTAAAACATGAAAAAAAAATTTTGCTAGACTACTACAAATAAAAAGATCAGAACTTGAAAGAATCAAAACAAAGATATACTCTCTAGCTAATACCGTACTCGACCGCGTTAGCGCCCATGCCCGGGCAAGTGCCCACCCCTCACTTTTGCTTAATTTTTATATTTGGGGTCACATTCGGCAAAGCGCCCACCCCTTCAAAATGCAACTAATTTAAAACTTGGTCTTGCGTTACGAATCTTGGTAATCGTTTTTATATGATACAGCGTGGATATTGACCGCTGTGAACATGTTGTGAATGTGTAGAACATGGTAACCGTGCGTAAACTATGCTTCGACAATGACCTGTTAATACAAGTAAAATGCGGTAAATATTTCATGCCATATTCAGTTTACCTCTCAAAAATGGCTAGTTACTAGTTTTTGGGAAAAACCATGTCGTTTATTCGCTGAAATCAATTCCAACAGATCGTATTTCGACATCGATAATTCACTTCCGCATTGCGTTACAGGAAAGTCTTCGGGAATTTCCGAAGAATTGCGTCAGTACAACACAGCATTCTGATTGGTAAATAACCAACTTGACCCATTAGGTCAAAGGACGCTGCTGCAGGTCAAATGCAAATGCTTCATGGCGGAAGGTGATTTTCATCAAGAGTTTGCGTATGATCATGGACGCACTAGTACGTCCATGGTACGATCCAACACCTTCGTCAGTGGAGAAAATATGACAATTTTGATTTCGACTGTGTTTCAACAGACTCAAATGTTTTTAATTTCGTAAATTTTGGTGGTACGTAATTAATATTGTAATAAAATGTGCATATTTTTTGTGATCATTTCCGTTTCTTCATTGTGAAAATCAATGACCACTCAACTAATTTCGTAATTTGATTTTCCCTCAAAGACGTAATCTGTCACTTGATGAATCAAATTTTTCATTTGCACTCTTTTTCGAGGGGGGTGCTCGGGTAAGCGCCCACCCCTAACAAATCGTGATTTTCTGAGTTGAGGCCCCTGGGCGCTAACGCGATCGAGTACGGTAGTTGTAGACTTGGTGCATAAACATAGATTGCTATCAATAATGAATTTCTTAATTCCCTAATTTTGTCATGATTACATCTGAAAAGGTAATGTTTTTCATCACCAACTTCATTACAGTTACACAGATGACAGAATCTGTCTTCTCTTTTAATGCCTCTATGTCGACCTTTTTCTACTGGTAGCTGATTGGCTGAAATCCTGAATTTGGTTAAAGGGGAACTAAATAGAGCCTATTTTGGTGTTTGTATTTATCAAGTTATGTATATTGATTATAAATTTGAAAAAATAAATAAAAAAAAATGATTATCTTCAGAGTTATGATGATTTAAATATGAGAAACCATAAAGCTGCGAAGGACATCCGTTTGCGCCATCTTGCCAAAAAAAAACACGCCCTCATGAGGTATAAACAGGTAAGGTAACAAAGCATGATGACGAAATAGTATCTGATTAAATATAAGCAACTTAGGGAGCCATAGTTAGCTGGACTGGTGAATTGACTTCTAGTCTAAGTTGTTTCGACTTTTACGTTAATGTTATTTACAAGCGTATCAACATACAAACATTATGGATGTCGATTGATCGAGACAGGCATTTTGTTTTGTTTTTTGTCTAACTGTCTAATAAATGCCGTTTCCAGTACTGCACTGTGCGGCATGCAAATTATTCAAAGTATATGGATGCTGGAGTATGCAATCTTGAGTTCGTAGGGTGGTGGTGGAAACATTTTCGTCCATGTATTCACGGGGCTGCACTGGCAAATCATGGGACAAGTGT